ACATAATTTTCAATTAGTGGGAAATGTCTGCAGTCATATTATTTTCAAAAGTTTAGATTTAATGTGTCAATTAATAAAGAGTCAATTCCCCAACAGAAACTTCTGCTCCACTAACTTTATAAAATACTATATACTGTAGCTTTACTGCCTGCTTCTCTGAATGTGCTTGCTCATTTTTCTTTAAAAGTTTGCTGAGAGGGTAATTTTGAAAAATACGTTTGTCAGCACTCTTCTTTCTGCTGTTTACAGGTGACAGAAAATACAGACGGAGTCGCAGCAGGAGCAAAGAGGTAAATAATAAATTCATTTCTATGACTAGACACACATTTGATGTGATTTTGAAGGCCTTAAGTTGTATTCCTTATTAATTTTAGGTCGAGGTGAGTATATTTTATTAGGTAAAATAAGATTAAATAACCAAAGTTAAGAAAAAAACACATAGAGGGAGATGGGTTTGCGCACATGGAAAGGGTCCTTTTTTTAACCCTCCCTATGTTGACATGTCTCAAAGGAAGCTTTCATCCTTGGATATCTGTCATTAAATGTAACCATATTAAATGGTGAAGAGTAGATATTTTTTCCTTTTTTTTTTTTTTTTTTGTTAAAACCTGTGTGTAGATCACATGATAACATTTCTACAATAAATCATACTCAGCGTGCTAATGCACGAAGAGACTGAACAGAAGACCCTGCTGACATAGCAAAATAATATGTCTACTACTGGGACAGGTAACTATCTGCCATTCAAACTCTTTGTCTCTCACTGTTAGTAGAAGAATTTGAAATAACTTTTGCATCTCTTTCAGCTAGGGATGGGCATAAGTAAACATAAAATGAATTCAAACACAATCTCATGGTGTTTGGATTGCCTTTCAAACTAATTTGTCTGTATAAAGAGTAAGAACTGTTGTCCTCTTAAGTGATAAGCCACATCATACTAATAATAGCCCATTCCAAACTATTTACCCATGAGGTAAAGATGGTGTGAGAATTTGACTTTAGTTGTTGCATAGGAAAGATAAACCTGATATGTTGTAGAAAAGCATGATTTTAATTTAGTAAGTTTATCAGTATTTTTCCTGTGAATTTATAATTGTGTTTTATGATGTAAGTTGGATGCCCATCCCTGACCATCAAGTTCAAAGCACTTAGGTAACATTGAATTGTTGTTGTTGCTGAACTGACAAAAGTTTTTTCCTGAGGATCAGATCGTAAGTTTTGCATGCACACTCGTAAAAGATTTGAGAGACTCTTTCTATAATTATGTTGAAATTAATGTAGTCAAATTGGTCTATACCTGAAATGCCCACAGGTATATATGTATATATATATATATATATATATATATATATATATATATATATATATATATATATATATATATATATATATATATATATATATATATATATATATATATATATATATATATATATATATATATATATGTGTGAGCATTTGTAATGTTCACAGAATGACATTCTATATATGTTATGAAAGTGGATTTGAAATGACAAGGTTTTTTTTTTAAACTTGTCACAATTTATTACATACCTGCTGCTTTAAGCCATGGTACTAACTCTTTTTGTTGCGCTATTTTCCTGAAAGAGACAACTTCTTCTTAAAACAGGCACGAAAGAGGGACTCTCAGAAGCCATCAAAATCGCACAGAAAAACAGATGAGCAAGATCCAGAGAGACTTTCAGCAGAGAACGGAGAGGAGCGATCCAGACGAAAAGACAGGAGGCCCTCCAAGGGTCGGAGCTTGTCCAGGTCACACTCACGAGAGAGGTTAGTTTGGTCACTAAACTGCATAAAGAAATATGTTAAGCAGGTTCTAACTGTTTTAATGACACAGAAAAAAACATTGTTATCAAGGGTCTGTAATAGTTTCTGGATTAATAAACAAATGTATCCTTATTCCTATTGTAGATGTCCTGGTGTCACTCAGTAGACCCATCTATTCAAAACATTTATCAAGGAAAAAACTATGGTCGGACTCTGATTCATGCCAATAATATCTTTGATTCATGTTGATGGGTCTTGTTGTTTTCAGGCGACATAACAGCAGAAGTAAGGACAAACGGCGATCACGATCACGCAGCCGGGACAGGAAGAAGAAGGCAAGGTCTCGTTCAGGTTCAAGGACCAAACACCGTCATCATAGCAGAAGTCGCAGTAAGAGCAGGTTAGTTTAATTGAAAGGTCAGGGGATTAAGTGTTTTTGAACTCCTCTTTTTTTTTTCTGCATGATTGCCATTCTACATTGACTTGTTTTTTTTATTCCACCAGGGAGCGAAAGAAAAGGAGTGAGAAAGTGCGCAGAAAGAGCAGAAGCAGGTCTGTTAATCCACCTGCCTTCCGGGGCCGAAACACAGCTATGGATGCACAAGAGGCCCTGGCCAGAAGGCAAGGCAACAGCTTACAGGGCATTTACAATATAGATGGTTGGTCATTCTGTTCTGGCCAATTCTGGGCAATGTTAGTGGCAATTATTGCATCTGCATACTTGCAGCTACAAAGCCTTTTTTTTCTCATTTCACAGACATTGTCAATTTTTACTGCTCTATTTTAGTGCTATATTAATGCCTGGAATTTTTAAGAAGATGATATGGCTAGTACTCAAGCACAGATTAGTTAACAGAGAAATAAATTTAAACCTCACCATCAGCCTGCAACTGAGACATTCTTTCCTGAAGTTACTCAGATGAAAGTTGTAGACCACTGGTTTTGGCTGTAATTTGACTTCTCATTCATGTTGAATTTGCCAGAGAGCATTGTTGTTCATAAAAAGAAATCGCATTGGTAGGAAAACAGGGAAACATAATATTGTGATAGGTGTGGTGTACTGTTGGCCTAGGTGTTTTAAGACACTGACCGTAATTTCAGCAGCCACATATTTTAGTCTGGCCGGGGACCTTTGTTGCATGTTGCCCCTCCTCTCTTTCTCTCATCTCATGTTCAAATCTTTACTGTCCCCTGTTAAATGAAGGCAAAAATACTCAAATAATACATATGCTGACCCTAATTTCAGCTGGCTGATGTCTCCAACATGTTGAGCTATGACTTTTTGCTTACAGATCATATCACAACTTTTAGGTACACAACAGCAAGCACACTGTGCTTTTAAACCAAATAAGTAATGAGATCTTTACTCTATTTCTTTCCAGGCTGGAGAGAGCAAAGAAACTACAGGAGCAGAAAGAGAAGGAAATGTTTGAGAAACAGCAGCAGCAACAGCAGGAGATAGCTGCTGGTGAGAAGCACTTATTGCACCAAGATTTAAAACCTTGAGTCCAGATTAGTTACTTACTTATGCTGGTTGTTGTTTTGTTTCCAGTGGCTGCCCCTATTGCAGCAGTAGCTGCTGCTGCTGCAGCGGCTGCCTCAAACCCCGGCCTAAATGTGGCAGCCCTCCTGGCCTCTGGGACGCAGGTCACGCCTCAGATTGCTATGGCAGCACAAATGGCAGCCCTTCAAGCAAAAACACTGGCAGAGACTGGTATTGCTGTTCCCAGCTACTATAACCCATCCTCTGTAAACCCCATGAAGTTTGCAGAGCAGGAGAAAAAGAGGAAAATGCTATGGCAAGGAAAGAAGGAAGGGGTAAGATTTAACTTTGTTTCTTGTTTATCCACCAGTTATTTCCCTAATTGTCTAAACATACTTACAAAATATGTCTTTAGAAAAGGATGTTTTAATGTACAATATTTTAATATATATTTAACATTACATATTGCCTATCATTTCTGTTTTTAATTTTTAAGGACAAGTCTCAGACAGCTGAGTTGTGGGAGAAGCTAAATTTTGGAAACAAGGACCAAAATGTTAAATTTCGCAAACTAATGGGTATTAAAGTAAGTATTAATTATTATTTTACTTAACCAGTAGGTGTGGTTTGAAGCTACGGTTAAGTCTTCTCTATATCACAGTTATATCAGAGTTAAATTGAATGTGCTGTCTTTACAGGGAGAAGATGATGCTGAAGCTTCCAAACCAATTAACGATGAAGGCATCAAGACTCTTCAGAAGCAGGAGGAGATGTTCAGGAACCTTGACGTTCAGTATGAGATGGCTCGGTCTCAGACCCACACCCAGAGGGGAATGGGCCTCGGCTTCTCCTCCTCATTCTCACGTGGAATGGATTCAATCTAGTGCCAAATACTGGCTGTCGTTGCCACTCATCTGATCATATAGGACCACCAGTTCATCGCTAGCCTTCAAGCCTGCATGGATGTTGCTCTGAATCTGTAACTTATTTATAGATAAACATCTCACATATTGGAACATTATAGTGTAAATGGCCAGATGCTGAGTTTGTCTCAGTGTTTATTAATCTGTACATCTCTGCAACAGGACGCATCAGTTTGACTGACTGATACTGGTTAAAATTAGATATTTGTTTGAATAATGTGGTAGCTTTTTTTTAACTCCAAATATATATTGATATGTGATTGTTTGAACATAACTGAATATAATGTGGTTCAAGTGAACACTGTACATCCATCCAGTGATAGGCATCTGAAGTCAATGTAGCATTATCAGAATCCCTCAGTTTTCATTTCTCCTGATTGGGGGGAAAAACAGAACAGTGGGTTGTAATACATTTAGTCTTCAGGTTTGCCTCAAGATGTGCTTGAGGAGTTATCACATATTTCAGTTGTTGTTGAAATAAATTAGTTTTGTGTTGAGTAAGGTTTTTCATACTTTAACAATTTAACATTTAACATTTTCACTTTAACATTGTTTTTATGTGATACCTTTTTGTGGGTTACTACGTTTGGGTTCAAATAGTGTTGGTGGTTCTGGGTGTAGGGGGAAAAAAATGGTCAAAAGGTCAAAATCAGATGGAGTTAAATTGATGTCAAGTTAAATGCTACTGTTATGCTTTACATCAGAAAAAGGACATCTTCACAAAATGTCACTTGTTTACTTTAGTTACTCAGCCCTAGGTGTTACCAAACCTGATAGTAGTATGTGCATCAAAAAATAGACTGTTATAAGGAAAGAAAGCACAACTTTGCATACAAAAATTTAAAGATTTTCACTCAAATTGCAGCACTTTCTCTTGACACCTACATGGAAATCCACTCTTATTTACATATTAGACTGGAGTACAGTACATGAGCCACGCCAGTGATGAGGTTGTGGTTGGCAAACTCGAGGATAAGGAGCAGGATTGGGTACTCGCTGTGTCTCTTCTCCAAGGTGGAGTCTTCACTTAAACCCATCCAATGAAGCAGCAGTGTTCGCATGGTCTCAGGGAATAGTTCTGTGGCTAGTTCCTCAGCAGGTGGCAAGTCACTAATTCGTTCAATATGGTGAACTTTAAAGCCCTCCACTTTCTGGCTGATGCTGCTATTGGCTGCATGAAACTGCTGGCCAAGCCAACGTCCTATACAACTAAGCAGGGAACTTGAATACACACAGCCCCAGTCTTTGGCCTTTAGCAGGGCTAACACAGTTTCTGTCACATCCTTTTCTTCTAGATTCCCCTTCATGTATCGATCAATGTTCTCCAATAGCAGCGAGATTGTTTCAAGCTGTTCTGTGTAGCATTGAGTGTCAGAGGAGAGTTTGTCATCCAAGCTATGCAATTTCTGTCTCACTGTGGACACAATTTCAGGTTGCATGCTCTGTTTAGGAAAAGAACAATAATCGTGATCTGCTGATGTATTACTTGTGCCACTGCCACATACGTCCACAAATCCTCTGCCAACCTGGCAATGCTGAGGTTGTGACATCTCATTGATTGATTCTGTGTCATGCAGGCTGCTGGATAGTTTAAAGTCGAGCTGCACACTGAGGCTGTAACTCATTTTCAGAGGGCTGTCATTTATCTGCGATTTCCAAACATCCTACAAAGGAAAGGCAGTAATATATCAAAAGATATTTTAAAAAAATCAGGTAGAGACACCAAATATGAACTGTACTGTACCTGGAAGTTCTCCAGCACAGCAAGCTGCTCTTGCTTACTGTACATTTCAAAGGCTACTCGAAAAAGTCCTTGAATGCTGTAGAACCAGAGGCTGTTATTTACAGTAGGCACCTTCAACCCATGGAACCTGAATGCTGCAACAAGAAGACCACACTGTCATGTGTATACAGGTGTTTGCATTGATGGTACTTCTTTTAAACCCTCTAGTTGCATTTTACCTGAGGAGAAATGTATTTTTGTTGCCAATCCTTTCTTTGCAAACTTGGCGTGGTATCTGGGATGGTTGTCTGTACGGATGTCCGTGTTGGAGAAGAGATCAGCTCCTAAATACAGGGGAACCAGTGGACTCTGAAACAGATACAGAGATGATACATATGAAGCCACCTTAAGATATGGACATACATTGGGAAATGGACAGATTTTATATATATTTTTTTTTTTTAAAGAGCTCCTGTTTGTGATAATGTATATTACACAACAAAAAATACAATTTGTATGATACGTACATATTTAATCAGAATATAATTATCTCCACATCCATTCTGATTTTTTCGTTATACAATTAAAAAGTATATGACTGATCACTTCCCTCCTGAATGGAGCTGTGATGATAATGATGATGGGCGATATAGCACCCTCTAGCTGGTTTCGAGAGTTATGGGAAATGTGATTATAAAAACACATCTGCCATCTTAGTTGAAATTATGAGAGTTAAAAACACATATTTGTGCTTTATGTGATACTTGTCACTAACCTTGTTGGGACACTCTGTCAGCCTGAACGATGTCAGATCCATCAAGTAAATGAAACGCATTTTCCGCGAGCCCCCGTCCCACTGCGGTAAGGTTAAGTGGATAGTTGAGCAGCTTGACATGGCTGGAAGCAAATGAAGCGTCTCACTTAGTCACAGTTGTGTGTTGTCCTGTGGAAAGGCTAAGTATTTCACCTGAACGCTGTAGACAAAGGTAGAGAAGTCAAACTATCTGCAAGTAACCGAACTGAACTGGCTCAACTGAACACAGTGTGTGTTGTCGTTAGCCCTCAGCGCTGTCTTACAGACCCAAGAAGCCGTTGCGAATTAAAAGTGACTCCTCTCAAACGGAGCACAATAACTATTCCAACATTTCTGTTGTGAAATCTAAACTCGAGCATCGATATCGGAATGGTTCCTTCTCTTCTTGTAGGAAAAATGTAACCTGTAACGCTACTGTGTGGGCAAACATAAGTCCACGTCTGTGAGTCCACTACGTGACATGAGGAGGACCAATGAATACGGAGAGTCGTTGCTTTCACCTCTGAACTTCCCGTCCTGTGCTGCAGAGCTGGGAAAGATGGCCGAGCTTGATTTCGGGGATAGTGAGCTCTTTCAGCAGCTTGATGACTCCGCGCCGCCGGTCCCGACGCACATTCGCTTCACAGATGATGAGGAAGACAAGGAAGAGACGAGCCAGCTTCGGAGCAGGCTGGAGGAGTGTGATGACTACATTCAGAGACTCACTGAGGAGAATATCCTTGTGTTCAGTGTGTGCTAGCACTAGCTCACGTCTGCTAGCACGGTTAGCTCCTCCACGTCTCTGTAACCAAAACAGAAAAACAACCTGAAAATGTTTTTATTTTATTACATGTGTGTAGGCTTTCTGTCTAATTCCTTAACTTGTAGTCACATAAAGGTTTGAGAAGAAAACAAAACATCCTGACACGACCAAGGTAATAAGGCAACGTCAGTGCGCACTATAAACGAAACTGATCATCAAGTAACCAACACTAATTTCCCTCTGTCTTTACAGCGGCATCTCAATTGAAGATGTCAACATTGACGGGCCAGTTCTTCAAATCCTTTATGCGAATAATTTTATTTCAAAGTAAGCAATCGTTTCTCATCAATTAAATGGGTTTATTCACTCACGTGTGGTTTGCACAGTACATTTTTATCACCCCTGACATTGAGGTTGTAATCTGAAAAATATTTTTAGTTTAGTTGTTACTGGTACTCCCCCCCCCCCCCCCCCCCCCCCCCCCACTTGTTTTAGTTTTTACATAGTGCCTCATAAAATGAAATGGCAGCATATTAATTATATTTGTTTATATTTACTTGCTGTGTGTGCACCTCACTGCTACATTATTTAAAACACCATGTTGAAAGTGTGTGTGTGTGTGTGTGTGTGTGTGTATAAATAATATAATAAAACAGTAATAAACATCCCCCCTTTAGGCAGTGTCGTCAAGAAATTGAAGATAGCATCTGCAATTTGATTTGGAAGCACCAGAAAGCAAGCAATGAAAAGAAAAAATCCATCTTTGTCATGAAACCTCAGGTATTTACACATTATATTGTATTTTGTTTATTATCGATACAGTTGTGACTTTACTTTAAAAAAAAAATACTTGTTCTACCTTGTATGAAGAATTCAGCGTTTGCTATGGATGAAGATCCTCAGAAGTCAACTTCTACTGGTGTAAGAACAACAACAGAAGCATTTAAAGTGAGTATTTACTGTTAATTTCAGTGGTTTGCATATTGCACACATTTCTTGCCACATTAAAAACAAAATGGGATGTTTTTGTTTGTTTCTTATGTTTCTGTCATAGGTGGTTGGTAGTGTCTTATATTTCACTACTTTCAGTGTTGATAAACTTGGACAGCCTCTGGTGAATGAAAACCCCCAGCTGACCGATGGTTGGGACGTTCCAACGTATCTTTAAGATGGATAAATGTGACATGTCATCAGAAATCTACAGTCTAGTCTGTCAGGTCATTTGTTTTGAACATGTGTTGCACATGTAGAGAACCATTTTGCCATGGGATAAGAATTTTCATTTTCAAGGATAGATGTCTTTAATTTTAAATGTGCTGTTTATTATTTATTTTATTATATATTTATTAAATATCCAGCACACTTTCAAGGTGTTTAATTAGAAAAGCTAATGATTTTGATTTGGGAAACAGGATAACATTTCCTCAATTGTTGTAAAGCTATCACCAGGTTTTCAACCAAGTCATTGGCACTGATGGACAAGAAATAGAAATGAAAGACAAAAGGTATGTCTGGGGTTATTAATGAAGCATTTTTTAGTTTCCATCTTCTGTTTATGACTTGCTTTATGTCTTTGCTGTGTGGCATATAACTTTATGATGGTCCAGTCACTGATCTGTTCATTATAGACCCAAATCTATGTGTTTCAACTGCGGTGCGAGCAGTCATCAGCTGAGAGACTGTCCTAAGGTAAGAACAAGTAAGCATTATGATTGTATGAACCCAAGTTGAACATACGAAAAGTCATAACTTGATATACTACATTTATACATTATCACCTCTCTAGCCTAAAGACATGGCCGCAATTAATGAGAGAAGAAAGGAGTTTAATCAGAACAACAACCAGTCCATGCAGAGTAACCAGCGATACCATGCTGATGAAGTGGAAGAGCGGTTTGCTAAATACAAGCCTGGAGTCATGAGGCAGGATTGTTATTTTGTACATGACAGACACAAACACCATTTTATCACATGCAATATCTGTTGTAGCAAGTAAAATTAAATATTGATCATTTAATATTTTACACTATGTGTTTTTAAACAGCGAGGAGTTGTTGTCAGCACTGGGAATTGATGGCAACACCCTCCCTCCCCTGATTTATCGCATGAGGCAGCTAGGCTACCCACCAGGTTGGCTCAAAGAGGCAGAGATGGAAAACTCTGGCTTAACACTGTATGATGGAAATGGTATGTTTTTAAATGAAATTGATACCTGTGTGGTTCTGTTGTTGTTTTTTTCTTTGCGCAAACTACTGGAAAGCATACCAATGTTTTTGAAATGTACAGAGGTTGAGCTGAATCTGCATTTTTTTTTTCTTTCTCCCTTCTGTTTTCTAGTTTCAAATGACGGCAACACAACAGATAACACAAATTCACACATCTCTTATGACGTTTCCAAACTGGTAGACTTCCCAGGCTTCAATGTAGCTTCACCACACACAATGAAAGATGTAAGGCCCATGATCCTTTAATGATATGATCTTTTCAAATGTTGTGCTTAAATATATTGCGAAGTTATTGTAGTCCAGGTATCTGAGTTATTTAAATTTCAGTTATATTAATATTTTGTTTTAATTTATGGCTTCAGACAAAGGAAAACTGGAAATCAATGCAGTACTCTTTGATGTGATTTCATCAGCATTTTTGTATTTGTGTTAAAACTTAAATTTGAATTATATAATTGTTTCTTACACAACATTAATAATAATCATTCATTTGTGCAAATACTGTAGTATGGAGTCACTTTGAGCTTTATGTGTGTATGAAATATTGTGTCTGTGCAAGGAGTCAGCATCATGGCAGCTAGTTAGAAGTTTCAGTGCTTTTTTTGTGGCAGGACGTTGTTACCACAGTTGCTCCTCTCACACTTTTTCTTTGCTTTCTGACCTCAAGGAGTTTTTGCAGTATGGATCTATTCCAATGCAAAGCAGCCACATGAAGCCAAACTATGCAGCCTACCTGTCCAACAACTTCCCTATGGTAAGTCACTCAAGTGGCTTGGTTTTTTTCCTCTCAAAACATCTGCTTCCTGTAATAACTTCCTATCTGACAGTCCTGCTCCACTTTAACCAGACTTTCTGGATATTATGTGTGAATACATGCAAACATGTTGGGTGTTATTTCTTGGATCCATACTTATGCTCCATGATACCACTCTGGCTTAAAATGAAAGACACAGAGAGCTATTGAGTGATTATAATGTTACATAACAGTTGTTGAAGGATCATTATAAACCCATGGTAGATACTGCAGCTATTTCTGTCCCTTTCTATCATTAATTCTGCTCTTCTCCATCTTAGTGACACTTGAATATGAGTAAAGGTAGATGTATTAGGTTTTCATATCATGACCAAATAACGAAAAGAAGTCCACACCATTCAAACACCACTTTGCTTAACACATCCTCACTGCTCAAGGTTATTCAGTTATATAATCATGACATTTCAGGCTTTGCATCCTTATCATCTAACTCAAATCAGAAGACAGAGAATATAATTACCAGGACAGATTATAAATACAATTCTTAAAGAGCAATAAAATGTAAATGCACAAACAAAATTATATAGAAAACAAACCAGTAGAAAACATTAGGAATACAAAAAAATCAAAGTTATTGTGACACACCTGTTGTATAATCTAATCACATGAAGGATAGAAGAGAGAAAATGCAGGTCAGTGTGCATGATGCTCTAGACAACAGTCCATGCTGTTCACATGCAGTACACGCCCATTATTCATAATCCCATTTTTGACAGCCTGTCTAAGTCCTCTGTTATTCCAGCCTCTGGATTTTTATGCTATATCAGTTTACTGGCACCAGTAAAGAGAGATGATATGTGATGAGTGTGCATTTTTGGCAGAGCCCTTAAATTTTTTTATTCCACATGTCATTCCTCCTTGTCAACAGCCTGGCACCACCTGCAACAAGAGACGGCATGAATCTGACTCTTCTCCACAGCTAAGGAAGAAGACAAGGCCCAGTCCTGATCGGAACTCGAATAGGAGCTCGGATATGGATATTGAATCAGGTAACTGTTCATCTTAGTCGCTTTTTTTTTTTTTTTTCTTCCAGCAGGCAAGAACACAAAGTTACAGATGGATCACAAATTAAAGAAAAACCTGAATAAATGAGAGGAGAAATGTAACAAATCCAGAGTTGCAATGCATGGTACATAAGTAAGCAGGTTAACATCCAATCGTGCTCTGTGGAGGGTACAAAAAAGTTGAGCAGGCCCAGTTGACTGATTTTGTATCAAGATGAGGAAAAATAGTGTTCCATCCCTCTAGTAGACTTACAGAGACACAAAGAATCAACCCCAAGGAACATTAAAGCTCTTCTTGCAGCACGTGGTAGCCCACAAATCTTACTAAGACATTTTGTTGTTTTTTTCCGTTAGATTGTCACCCGCACATATGTTTTAAAACTAGCTAACAGTCAAAAACTGCAACAGTAGTCTGTAGTTTTCTTGAACACAGTAATACTTGAATCAGCTGCGTCTTTGTTTGGTCAAAGTGTCAACTTTATAATCTTTGGGTGACTTTATTCATCTTCTCTCAGACCCAGGTACACCTTATTATACTTATGGCCCAGGTGACTTCCAGTTTCAACCTCCCCTGCCCCCTGGATCTCCTTGCTTCAGTTCACCTCCTCCTTTACCCCATGGCACTCCTCCTGCTACACCTACTCCCCCACCTCTCCCTAAAGGTACACCACCTCCCACACCCACCAACGGCTCTCCAGCTCTGCGAGTGTGTAACTGGGAAATAGTTGATGAGACTGTGGAAGGAACGGAGGATGAGCTGACACTGGAGGAACTGGAGGAGCAGCAGAGGCTGATTTGGGCAGCTCTAGAAAATGCTGACACTGCCACTAATAGCGACTGTGAGACACCTGCAGTGGGAACACCTGTACCCAGTTCACCAAGTGTGTCTATTCCTGTGCATGTCGACACAGAACCTGAAGAGGTTGAAGAAGTGATGGACACAACGAGACCTGCAGAAACTTGCCCTAGCGGCAGTGAAAATCAAGGGGAACCAGGTGTTTCCTCTCAGAGCCCTGGCCCAGTCAAAGTCCAGGACGACAGCCCTCGGAGTCCTGGCCCAGTCAAAATCCAGGACGACAGCCCTCGGAGTCCTGGCCCAGTCAAAGTCCAGGACGACAGCCCTCGGAGTCCTGGCCCAGTCAAAGTCCAGGACGACAGTCCTCGGAGTCCTGGCCCAGTCAAAGTCCAGGACGACAGCCCTCGGAGTCCTGGCCCAGTCAAAGTCCAGGACGACAGCCCTCGGAGTCCTGGCCCAGTCAAAGTCCAGGACGACAGCCCTCGGAGTCCTGGCCCAGTCAAACTCCAGGACGACAGCCCTCGGAGTCCTGGCCCAGTCAAACTCCAGGACGACAGCCCTCGGAGTCCTGATCCACTGGTCTCTAATGGGGGGCCTGGAGATACTACTTCTCCTAAGCATGGCGAGAAGGTAATAGCTGTTCCTCATAGGAGCAACTTTGCAGCCGGCATTGTTCCATTTGAAGATACACCAGAATTCACTGAAGTTGCTGAAGCCACAGGGACATACCTTAGGATCAGAGACTTGCTTAAAAGTTCCCCTCGAAACCTGGCGAAGAAAAAATAAATTTGTACTATCTTGATTTGGAACACAAAGATACATAGATATTTTTTAAGGAAAAACATATATTTTCATTTTCATGACCATCCTATGAAGCATGTTTTTAGCTGTTTATTATTTTGTACCAAGGTGAATGTCTGTGTTGTAAATACAGTGGATCTGTAAACGTACAGTGAGGGAGGGGCATTAAGGGATGCTGCAACAGTTAGTAGGTTTTGACCAATTGTCAGTTTTTTTGGTAGGTGTTGTTTTTTTTTTTTTTTTTTTTTTGTAGTGTTACTTGTTTATTTTATTGTAAAATTTGTAAAATGGTAATTTCTTGACCTGTATTCATTTTTAATAGCATGGTGTTTTCATGGCTTTTTTTATTTTTGTCCCACTTGAATTGCTCTAAAATCAGTAAGTAAACATGCTTGTATTTGCTTCACTGTGTTGTTTTGTCTAGCAGCCAAGGCTAGGTGTGGGTTTAATTTTATTTTGCTGCATGTTGACAGCAGAGATGGCCAAATATGTGAGCTACCAGAATACAGTTGATTGTAAGTTATCTTTAGTGAACACATTGATCTTCTGTTACTGTAACCAGCTCACCTGCTCATTTTGATGCACATTGCAAATGAAATTGCATATAATTGAAACTCTGCACTACAACAATTTTAATTTTTTTTCAGATGACATTAGAAAGCCTGGTCCACATTATTTCTTTATTATACCATTCATCAAATAGATTCATATCACACCTGAAATAAAGTCCATTCACCCCTTCAAAGTGATCTATCAAAAATGCATCATAAAATGTTCAAATACAGATTTAACACAATTTTAAAGAATCATTATATAGTTGCTAGCTACGCACCTCTGTCAGTCAGTCATGGTTTGGCTTTTAATCAAGTGGTTGCCTGGTGGGTTTCCTTTTGGCAGAAAATTAATTAATATTATTTTTGGAGCATGAACATTTGTATTTCTAATAATTTTACAGAAGTAACTGATAATATTTGGATCAAAAACATTGCATACCACTTTAAAGTTAAGAGAATTTCCCAATATGATTAATATATCAATTGTTTTTCTTATGACTATCCATATTCCAAATTATTAGTACATCTCAAAAAATTAGAATATCATGAAAAAGGTTTTTTTTTACCCTTTTTTTAAAACTTTCATATATTCTTGATTCAGTACACACAAAGTGAAATATTTCAATGCTTTTTTGTTTCAGTCTTGAAGAAAAATCAAATATCTAGTATCTCAAAATATTAGAATAAAGAATTTATGGAAAAGGAAATCATCATCTCCATAAAGCTTGTCGGCAGATGGAAACATGAAGTGCTCTAAAATGTCCTGGTAGACCAGCACGGACTCTGGACTGGAGAAACCACAGTGGACCAACACCAGTAGATGACATGGCACCCCAAATCATCCCTGACTCTGGAATCTTCACACTGAACTTAAAGCAACTTGGATTCTGTCCCTCTCCACTCGTCCTCCAGACTCTTGGACCTTGATTTGTGAGTGCATGGTGTCTCTTGATGCACTGGCCTCAGCCTCAGTCCACTCCTTGTGAACCCCCCACCAATTCTTAAATCGGCTTTGCTTGACAATCCTCTCAAGGCTGCGGTCAACCCTGTCGCCTGTGCACCTTTTCCTACCACAGTTTAACCTTCCAGTCAACTTTCCATGAATATGCTTTGAACCAGCACTCTAAACAGAGTCATCTGTCAAGTCAGAAGTCTTCTCTATGATTGTGGTTGTGTGTACTGAACCAGACAGAGATTAAAGGCTCTTCTCAGGTCAACATTTCTGTATTCTACATTCTTTATTCTAATATTTTGAGATACTGTTATTTTTATTTCCATGAACTGCAAGCCGTAACCATCAATATTTAAACAAAAAACGCTTGAAATATTTCACTTTATATGTAATGACTGTAGAATATATGAAAGTTTAAATTTTTCAATTAAATTAGGGAATAATAGTACAAACCTGTACCTTGCCAGAAAACCATGAGCCCTTTGATTTCGTAATTGTAGCAGTAAAGTTTGTTTTGTCTGTCAATTGTTTTGCTGTCTGTAGTGAGGCAGCGTCTCATCTTACTGAACATATCATCTTTGGTCAGCACCTACCGTTGACGTTCCTCTCGGCCGTTGGACAGACAGCGCTCGCGCACGCTGGGCTGTGCCTACCCGTGTGTGATCCCAGCAGCAGCAGTCGTCGTGGTTCTCTACTCGCTAGCTGTGTAATTTTTGTTTCCTCAGAAGACGTAGGCTGTACAGAAACATATCAGGTCAGTATTAGGTCGCCCACGCCCGAGCTCGTGTATTTCCGTAAACTTGCTTGTCCTTTTTGCTGCTAATAAAACCAGGGAACTTAACGCGAGATGAAAGTTGTTCAGGTTAGTGTTAGACGTTACACTTGAGGTGTTAGTTTAGCTAGCTAGCTAACCAGCCCTTCTCTTGGTCCAGACCGCCGGTTCGCCGTATTGCTCGGGCCTCACTGCTGACGTTACTGACAAATAATCACGTCTATTCTTGTGACGGGGATTCATTTAAACCAGGGAGGTACGGTACAGTCAACGGACTGCTTATTACAGCAACATTATACGGCAAACTATCTTCGCAGGTGATCTAATCTGTAACAATGTGTTATGCTGACTGTCAACTTGTAGCAGCAGTGTGCCCTACTGGAGCTTCGGTGACATTGCGGAGACTTTTGGACTTCTGGAATTTGCTTCAGTCGCTAAGTTGTGCTTATTCAGATGTTTGAACATGTGAATGTACTTTATCGGTTTCACTAATCATAAATGGGATACGTAGAATTAGCTAGTAAGGTAAGTTAGCCTGCATGGTAATCTTTTACAAGCGTCTCTCTCACCAGATGTGCCACCTCATCGACAGCTCTTACTCTCAATCCGTTAGCTAATAGAGGTGACAAGGCGAGGTACGTTAACAGACCAGTTCGTTTACCAGACCTCAGGATAACTTGTTAAACTGCACAAGGACAAGCCAGTACCTGACATATGTGCAGTATTATCTGTTTTTATTCTAATGTGCACTTTTCTCTGTTCTTAATTATCAGTGTGCAATATTCTCTGCTTTAATACCCTGGTTACTCTGTCCCCAATATAGTTTTTAAGGATTGTATCCATTCCGCATAATCTCTACCAGTACTCATTATTAATATCAGTATTTAATTCTCCACTACTATTTATGATGACACTTACAGTTAATACTGTACATATCTACACTTATATTAAGGTCTTAGAATTGGACTTTTAGATTTGTATTTTGCTATATTTTCTACTTACCTTCTGTTAATATTTCTATTCCTTTATATCTTGAGAGGCAAAGTGAGCAACTGTTGAAAAGACTTTCCCCTCAGGGATGAGTAAAGTATTTCTCATTCTGACATCAGTGAAGCAGTGTGTGCCATAGTGGTGTCTTTAGACAATTTTGCAGCTTAAAGGTGTGACTTAGGCATTTATGATGAAGCCTTTCTGTTTCAGACAAAAGGCAGTTTAACTTGTTTGGACTGACATGACTAAAGCCTTGATGGGTTGCAGTCTTAGGATTTTGTAAAGGCAATACCTCTTGAAACTTCTATTTCTACTAGTCTTTGAACTTCTCAATAGGAATTTAAGATCAAGATGTGTGAGAGAATGACTTACATTTGTGAGGTCAGCTAAATATATTTTTTTATACTTTTTTATACATGCGTCATATTTGTTGATTTCATCAGTCTGGAGTGGAAATGGTTATATATGATTTTACACCAACTATGTAATACTAACAACCTCGTTGCTCTACTTGACAAGGCTCTATTACTGAAAAGTCTGGATTTTACATTGGGACCACAGTGGAAACCTTGACTACCCCACCATATATTCTATTATTTCAGGTTTCAGTTATGTCAGGGCACAATTTTAAGTGCCAGAATCTGTGTAGGACAGGGCGGTACTGATATATACTGGCTGTAAGGTAGGTTTAATGTCAGACAAATGAGTGTTGTTAACTTGAAAACAGGTGAATCACAGACACTGAGGAAGCAGGATGCTTCTGATTCTTATTCTGTGCTTATGTCCTGTGAGTACTTTTCTACATCTTCCTATGTCGGGGCTAGCGGGGGTCTGCATAATCATCCCAGCAGATGTTTCCTCAAAAAGGAAGAACCAGAGCTTGCTTTGGCCTTGTGATGACAAGAATAAGAGTGTAGGAGTGTGGGTGGCTTTAGTGAATACACACTTTTGTTTTGTTTGTTTTTTTGTGTGTAAAGTAGTGGTGAGTTTAATTCATCAGGCTTATGAATCTCATAACAATTTCCTGCTTGCTTCCTGTGTGAAGCAGAAATTGAGAGGGATACCTCAGGCTCCTGAGGAATCCCTCTCAATTGGTCTGTAGATCAATCACTCACAGCTGGACTTAGCTGAAAAACATTCCAAGGAAACCTGTTTTGTATTTGGTTCAGTTTTCTTGATGGCTAATATTAGCCTACTGGAAAACAAATGTGGAATGAAAGCCCACTGGCTTTTGTAACCAATGACACCCTCAGTTAATAAATACTTGGTGAGGCTGAACTGGATGGAGAGTTTCGACTATTATTAGAAAACATGCAAGCTGATTCAGCTAACGTCTGCATCATAAGTGGTTTTGCACTCCTGTAGTCAGCATAATGTGTTCAATTAAAGCATGTAGTGTGTAAGTACTGTACCCTGGACAGTCATCTAGTTAACTATGTAGCAGTGTTATGAAGATATTCCATCTGCAGATTGATTTAGTTTTATTCTGTATGAAGTTTGCATGCTTTTGATTCATTGCATCCATTGCTTGGACAGACACTGAGTATGTAAACGTCTGTCATTACCAACACGGAAGCTGATTATGTCTATGCTGTCATTTTGAGAAGTAAGAGTAGATCAGTTCTGTTTTACAGGCTGCCATCTCCCTTCTTCTGTTTGGTTATTTAGATCAGAAAAATATGAAACCAGGCTAAATTGGATTTGGTTGTAGCCTAGTACTGAATGAGTTCAGTTCATTTAAGAATTTTACTTTTTATTACATCTGTATATTAATTCGCTTTAAACTTTTGTGAAACATTGGTATTTGGCTTTATTCCTAGCTACAGATTAGAGTGAGAGTCAGTGGCAAAAGATTAACGTTACTGCAGTGGGAAATTCTCCAGACTAAGTGGATAATTTTCAACTGACTGCTTCGGCTCACCAATCAGAACTGAAACATCCCCTGTTAATGCTCACAAGACAGTTGTAGTAAAGCCTCGGGGTGTTCTACTAAGACATCATAATGCATTTGATTTTTAGAAATGCTTATATTCTACAGGTTCATGCATCGGTCATACTAGACATTGATAAAATTGTTGTTTTTTGTGCAAACTGATTTACTAAAGATTTAAAGGGTCACAAATATGATGATGTAGTGACCTCCATGCTTCCTTCAGCCATTGAGATGCTTTCTTCCTCTGGCATCTTGACTTGAGGGCACTAATCAGTATCATTCAAAGGCACAGCGGGAGAAAACTGGAACACTGCATTTGTACTAGGTCGCTGCTTTCTGATGGCCACCCTTTATTCTCTGCTGAGAAATATCTAGGAGGTTGTGTGGCAGGGTGTCTTCTTTGTTTTGCTGAACCTACATCCTGTAGCTCTTAGGCCCTTTCAAGAATGAAAGGTATGTTAATATGACAGTGTGTGAAGTCAAGCATCTTGGCTTACTAAACGGACTCAAAACAGCTTGACTTTATAGGAGAAATGAGAAGG